GGGGGAAAGCCGTGGCGGGAGATGGGCCTTCCCGGAGGTGGCGGCTGCTTCCGCAAGCTCAGTTGCTGCCTCAGGTCTCCTCCACCTCCTCACAAAATGAGCGACGTGTAGCCGACAGGAACTAGGCCGGTGTTGTTTCCATGGCAGCAACGGATCCAGTCTTCATCCACCGTGGAGAGCAGCTGCAGGATGTCCCCTTTTTGGAAGCTCAGGTGACCGTCGGCGGTGCCCGTGTGATCACACAGCGCCCGAACTGCCCTGCACAACAAACGCCATCGGGGATTCGCCTCCCCGGGGACGCCAGGCAGCACCGGGAGAGTCTCCCACAGCACTCGGGGGAGGTTCTGACACTGATGTGTGGCACCGATGACCCCCCCTCTCCTCGGGCACAGATGCCATCGGACGATGGATTTGATCGAGAAGCCACATCACAAAAGGTTCCGGCCAAGCAGAGCCTCAGTGCAGCAGCAGAGCATGAGCAGCTCGTGCGCAGACGTGGCGGGGAGAGCCGGGTCAGGGCTGGGGAGGAGGGAGATGGCCAAACGTGGCGTGGGATGGCCACCGGCCTGCCGTGCTTGCTGGGACAGACGCTGCGCAAGCACCGATGGGCGACTACGGCTTTTCTGACCTGCCACAATTTGGTCAGAGCTGCCACATGGTTTCTCCAAACAAGCTGCTATGAATCCAGAAAGCACACAAAAGGAAAACCGTAGAATGGTTTGGGTTGGAAGGGACCTTAAAGCTCATCTTGTTCCAACCCCCCCCGCCATGGGCAGGGACACCTCCCGCCAGCCCAGGTTGCCCAAGGCCACATCCAGCCTGGCCTTGAACACCTCCACGGACGGGGCATCTATAACATCTCTAGGCAACCTGTTCCAGCATCTCACCAACCTCAAAATGCTCAAAATGTCTGGGAAGAAGAACTGACCACAGCCAGGCAGACACACAGGTTCACCCAAAGCTCAGCAGAAGCTGGGGCAATCCCGGGGGGGGCAGTCAAGGTGCAAGTGAGCAACCAGGAGCGCTGCAAGCCCTTCCCTAGAAAGGCCCGAGGGATACCCAGGCTGTTCCCCCTACCCAGAAAAATCCACCACCAGCTTCCCAGCCACAAACACCGCAGTGCCCCGCGTCACCTGTGAACCTGGGGCGCGTCAGACGTGTTCTTCTCGGGCTGGTCTTGAGCATGGGTCTTCTCAGACGCCAGCCCCTTCACCACCCCAGCCAGGACACGTGCACTGGGGGTCAGCCAGCTGGAAGGTCTCCTGCCACAAAGCAAAGGAAGCCGTGTGAAGCCTCTTCCCCCCCATCCTGCTCAGACCATTCAGGCGATCGGGGAGCTGACAAGCACCACTGAACCTTCACCGTGAGCTCCTGCTGCTCTAAAGGACCAACGCAACGGGATGGCAGCAGAACTTGGGACGTGAGCTAATCCCAGGAGCACAAAACTGGAGTAATGGGCAGTACAAGACACCCCCCGAGGCCAGTGAGCCCCACGGTGGGCGCTCTGTTCGTTGCCTGGGAGAAAAACCCTTCCTCAGCACATGCCGCTTACCCCACCGTGCCCAAGCTGGGGCTTACCTGGACCTAGCTGAGACGGTCTCAGGACTGGGAGGGAAGCTCCTGGTAGAGGGACTGGTGGCTCCAAAGAGCCGGCCCAGCCAGCTGCCCTTGTCAGGACCGGGAGGACCACCCGCCTCTGGGTCAGAAGGTGCTGCGCGATTCCTAGTCACACAAGGCTCTGGGGAAACAGCCAGGAGTTTCTCTCCGGCAGCGGGATCATCTGGCTTGGTGGGTGCTCCAGCTCCAGCAGGCACGAGGAGGTCTTCGGGGGAAGAGGTCCCAGAGGTGTCGGCACTGCTGCTGGGCTTTGGCCCGGAGAGTTCAGGGACAGCTTTGGTCTGAAGGAGCTGCAGCTCCGTGCCTCTGGGCTCATTCCCGGCTGGTTGGGCTCGCGCAGTCTGGCCGGGGCTGGAATCCCCCGCAGCCGTCCGCAGCTTTGTCCACCAGACGAAGGGGAACTTTTCCTTGGTAGGAGCAGCGTAAACCCTGGAGGCCTGGCTCAGCTGGCCCCACCAGCCACTGAGGCCAGCCCCAGCATCCCGAGGGCCTGCCTCGGGTCTGTGGGTCTCCGGGGAGCTGTCAGCTCCCAGGAGATTGCGACTGAGCTGGTCGCCCCACCGCAACACGTGCTGGAAGGTCTGCTGCAGGGCAGCCCCCACCTCGGGACCAGGGACCAGCCCCCGCACAGCTGTTTGGGACTGGGACCCTGCGCTGCCCTCTGCCTCGACTGCCCTCCCCACAGTGTCGGGAGGAATCTCATCTTCCAGGCTTCCCCCTGCAGCACCGCTTTGGCCCTCCGGAGAATGCTGCACAGGCCCCCGAGCCTGAGCGGAGCGATGGGCAGGAGGTAGGGGTGACTCCAGCCGACGGGACAAAGGTCTTACGTCCACGGAGAGGTGGTGGTGTTCAAAGAGCAGGTCGAGGTGGAAAGTCAGCACTGAGAGGGGCTGGATGAGCAGCAGCAGTTCATCGGCGAGGTGGGGAAGAGGGCCTTGGCTCAGGGCGAAGAAGGCCGTGGGTGAATAGAGCACAGAGATTACACCTACGAGAGATGGACAGCGTTGGACAGCCGGAAAATGCCCTGCCCTTGCCCACACACCCCTCCCAGGGCCAGCCGGTCTGTCTTAGCAGGTGAGACGAGCTTCTGCTGAGAGCCGTATTGAAGATGCACCGTGGAAAACGATGCCCTTATCCACTACGGAAATCCCAGCCAAGCATTGCAGGTGGAACGGGTACGGAATTATCACTCGGGTGGGGAGCATCGGGGCACTGTGTCCTTACCTGGGCTCTTCTGCAAGTGAGAGATCCACAGCTCCAGCTGCTTAATGCTGAACAAGACAAAGAGAACCCAGGTTAGAGCTCTTGGGACTCTGCTCCAACCTGCCATCGCAGCAAGGACAGCCTGGGTCAGCAGGACCGATACTCACTTCAAAAGACCGAGGATAAAGGCATGAAACTTCTGCCTGGTGCTGTTGAGAGGGGCCAGCCCGGCCACGTGCCAGCACAGGGAGTGGAGAGAGCGGGTGTTGGGGCCTGCGGAATACACCACACGGAGAATCACTGCTCTGGGCGCACATCCTCCCCCAGCCCAGGCTGGGAAAGGACTCCAGGCACTTCGAGATGCCAGCATCTCCAGGAGCATGTTCCTCACACCGACCTGTCTTCACGGAGGCCTCCACCACGCTCCAGGGGGAATTTTTCCTCTGGCCTGTGATAACATCCTTCTGGAACGGCTTCAGCCCGTCCTCCACCAAGGCATAGAGCGCAGGGCAGAGGGTGTGCAGCAGCAGGTACCCCACATCTGGGCTGAGCCGGCTGTCTCCCAGCTGGGCCTGGAGTAGGGAGGCACGAGGAGAGGGAGGGGAATGGGAACACCTAATGCCGAGTCTGCAGAGAGGGATGGTGGGATCCTCCCTCCTGGAGCTCCCAAATTCCCCCTGCCCAAAGCCTGCACCTCCTGCCCACCCCAGCCCAGCCAGAGCCTCAGCCCAGGCCCTCACCTTCTGCACCAGGTTCCGCGCAGCGCTGAAGTGGGCGATAATCTTATCCACGGCGGTGCTGACGGCGATCAGCAGAGCTGTCGGACAAGGGAAAGGAAGATGTCGACAGGGCAGTGGGTGGTTGGTTGGGGCTGACCGGCACCGCCGCAGGGAGAATCACAGAACCATAGAATGGTTTAGGTTGGAAAGGACCTTGAAGATCATCGAGTTCCACCCCCCCTGCCATAGACAGGGACACCTCCCACCAGCCCAGGTTGCCCACGGCCACCTCCAGCCTGGCCTTGAACACCTCCAGGGATGGGGTCTCAACAACCTCTCTGGGCAACCTGTGCCAGTGCCTTACAACCCTCAAAGTGAAAAATTTCTTCCTAATGTTTAATCTAAACCTGCCCTCTTCCAGTTTGAAGCCATTCCCCCTCATCCTGTCACTACACGCCCTTGTAAGGAGCGCTTTCCCAGCTCTCCTGGAGCCCCTTTAGGCACTGGAAGGCGGCAATAAGGTCTCCCCGGAGCCTTCTCT